AGAGAGAGAGAGAGAGAGAGAGAGAGAGAGAGAGAGAGAGAGAGAGAGAGAGAGAGAGAGAGAGGCCCTGTGAAGAGACCCTGTGAAGAGACCCTGGGAAGATATCCTGTGCAGAGACCCGGTGAAGAGAACCATTGTGAGAACTATTGTGAGAAGAGGCACTAGTGTGGAGGAACTACAGAGAGAACTGTGAGAGAAGGAGGAACTGAGGGAGAGAAGGAAACGGTGTGAAAAGGGGAAACTGTGTGTCAGGAAAGAGCGACTTGTGTGGAGAGAAAAGGTGTGAAGAAGATCTTCGGAGAGAGCCTGGAGATGGAGGGAAAGAGAAGAAACCCCGTGTAAAACCAAAAGGATTGCTGCGATACCAATCCTCGTGGGTTCCCCATTTTTTTTCCATTCCCCAACGAGCGTCCCGGTCCCTGAATATAATTTCCCCCAATGATGAGCCTCCATTACATTAATTTTGTTGTGTTCTCATTTAAGCCAGTCGGCACGTCCTCACTTCTCCCCTTTTGCAGGTTAAGAGTCGCCCTTTCTTTCTTATATATAATTTCGCGTAGCCGCGAGTGAGTTGGTTTTCCGTTGAAAATTTCCGTTTTAAGACACTATAAAATCAGATAGGTATTTTTTAAACTAACATTATGAAAATGTGAGTAAGTTGGTGTACCCCACTCCCTGCAACGTTCAGGAGATGTAAGCACTCAAACTAGTAGGTGGCAGTTGGTCGTTAAAATCCATAATTATTCTTGCACTACGGCAGTTACCATTAATATGAAGGGTTTCAAAAATTTTGGAAACCAGTTTGTTAAAGAAGAATTAACAATTTCCGAGTTAAAAGTCTTAGGTTGACTAAGTACAACGCAGGGTCTCTAAAGAAATCTCTGAAAAAATATTACGAGACTCAGAATTAAAATGTACTAACAAGCCAGGAAATTGCATTCCTCCCGAAGCACTTTATCGGAACCTTTGAGAAGAACACCGTGAATGCGGCTTGGGCCAAGTAGACAGAGCCGATGAAGAAGAATCCAAGCATCGCTGGTCGACGTCATTTGGTCTGCAGCGTTAGCCTCGTCGCTTAATCCAGTCCCCCCACCAATAGCTAAGTGCCTTCCATGTCTCTATCACCGTTGCTAATATACTCGAAGTCACAGTGTATAACTATTATTGAATAAAAGTCGCGTATGGATGTATTTGTGAATAATTTTTATCGAAACCGGAGGAATCAAGCTATAAAATAGAGCAGGCGGCTCTCAAGGCTGAACAAGCCCAAGGAGATGACGCTCAAGAGAGTGGAGGTGCAGAGCGGCAAACGAAAAGACCGCGAGCACGACACGCCCAGCCCCAACATGTCGCGGCCAGACAAGAGACAAAGGAGCAATCCGGCGTCGTACAGCCAGGCTGCGACAAAAATGATTCGGCTAGCTCTTGTTCAGGAGGGCTACCCGGAAAAGAAAATCTCTCCCGAGAAGTTGAAGGGCCTGAAAGGACTTGTGAAGCCCCAAATCCTCCTACTACCAAAGGGAACCAAAGCCGCAACCTTTGAGAGCATGTGGGAGAGAGACAGAGCAGTCATTTTTGGATGCTCAGGTGAAACGACGGCGACGTGGCTCAAAAGTTTATTACCCGGAAACAAAATATGAAGCACGTCGTTCCTGGTGGAGCTGCCAAAGCGCCGCACAATGGTAGTGCATGTGGGGGACGAAAAGATGTCCGCCCGGGAGGCGATTGACCTCATGGGCAGGCAGAATGTGGGACTCGAAACCGAGGACTGGCTCGTCATCAAGGGCAGTGAAAGCAAGGGAGCCATGAGCGCCCATTTTGCTGCCCTTATCGGCGAGAAAACATTGCTGCGCTTAAAGACATGCAATTTCAAACCTCATTGCGGGAAATCGTCACTCATCCTCATTTTGCATCACAGCAAAAGTGCCTCGGCCATACTTTGCCGGACGCTTGCTGGGATGCAAACATCTATAGCTGTCCTCCAAGAACCGTGGTTGGTGAATGGGACTATTAAAGTCCTGGGAGGATGTGGGTGATTGTTCCACGCGAACCCCAGGAAACACAGAATAAGGGCATGCATCCTGGTCGAAGGGATGGAAGCTACTCTCATATCGCAGCACAGCAAGGGGGACTTGGCCGTAAGCAAGTTGGAAGCCCAAATACGTGAGAATGAAACGTTGAAATGTATGGTAGGATCAGCTTACCTACCTTATGACTCCAATGGACCTCCGCCAATACCTGGTGTGGAGGCGCTGATGGCCAGAATGAAGGACGAGGGAACAGAACTCCTGCTTGGTTGCGATGCGAACTCACACTATCTGGGGTGGGGAGTCTCAGACACCAATGCCAGGGGAGAAGCCCTACACGACTTCATGATGATCAATGGCTTGCTACTCCTGAACAGGGAGAACGAGCCGACCTTCACAGACGGTAGAAGGCAGGAAGTGCTGGATATCACCAAATGCACAGCAGGCATGGTGGACTTGGTTAAAGACTGGAGAGTCTCTAAAGAACCTTCGGGCTCTGACAATAGCTAAATACGCCGTAAGCTGAGTGGCAGAGTGGATTCTATTCGGAAGAGAAATCCGAAGAAAACGGTCTGGGCGGGGTACAAGGAGGAACTCTCATTGAGAATCCAGGACGTACCCAGCAGGTGCGGGAACAACGAGCGACTGGAATATGCGGCCGAAGCTTTCGGAGAAGCAATCAGAAGCTCTTTTGAAATCAACTGTACAATGTGCGCCATGAAAGAAACCAAACAGGTTAGCTAGCGGAAGGCAACCCCAGCTAACCTGAGGGACCAGGTACGGAGGGCGTGGAACAAAGTGAAATACTCTTGCAGCAACCTACGCAGGAGGAAGGCGATGGAGGAACATAAACTACTCCAGAAGAAATACAACAAAGCCCTGGCGAAAGCCAAGAGAAAAGGCTGGAAGAGATTCAGCAGCGGAGTCGAGAACCTACCCGAGGCTTCCAGGCTGGTTAAAGTACTGGGGGATCAGGGTGGCGCCAATCTAGGCCCTGTAATGAAGCCAGATGGCAGCTATACCTGGACCTCAGAGGAATCTCTTCGACTCCTGCTTGGTGAGCACTTTTCTGGCTTCACAAGCACGGAAAGCGGGAAAGTGGCCGCAAAGGAAACTGAAAGCCGGTATAAACCACAGGACTGGGCTCTAGCAGCCAAAATCGTGTACCCACAGGGAGTATAATGGGCGATCAAATCCTTTGAACCCCTGAAAGCACCAGGACCGGATGGTATCTACCCGCTGTTGCTACAAAGAGGAATGGATGTCATCGTGGAGCCTCTTACAAAAATGCAGAGAGCCAGACTAGCACTGAGAACTGTACCACCAGTTTCGGGGAAACGGAAATAGTGTTCCTACCCAAGCGCGACCGAAACGGCTATATCAAAAAAGACACTTTCGACCCATCAGCCTAACCTGCTTTGTTTTAAAAACAATGGGCAGGCTCCCGAATAGATACATAAAAAGCAAACTGCAAATAGCCAGGCCGCTGTCTTCTTCTCAGTACGCCTACAGAGAGGGGAGGTGCACTGAGACCAGCCTACACCACCCAATGGCAAAGGTTGAGGAGTAGATACGGGCAAAGGGCTACGCAATGGGCGTTTTCCTCGATATTGGGGGAGCCTTTGACCGTACAGGAAACGAGGTCATATAAACAGCCATGTCAAGGAGGGCTTCCCAGAAAAAATCATTAACTGGGCACAAAGCATGTTGGTGAGCAGTTCATTAACTGCCGATCACAATGGCGTACAGATAGGAGGTCGCCCGAAGGGTAGGTGCCGACAGGGCGGAGTTCTATCTCCAC